GGGCTGCACTTATGAACTTTAATATGCATTATACAGAGGCAAGATGAAAAGAAAAAATACCATCTAAACTTATCTAAAGACAGTATATTCCCCTCAGACATGCATTCATATAAACTCCTACCCCTAATTGAATCGCGATTTGTTTAGCATCTCAACCGATTTGAATTGTCACATATTTGAATCGATTTTCAACCGGCTCGCAGTTAATCGTTACATCCCTAGCTATGGCCTTTCTGTAGATGTTTAAACATGGCCATTTTTAAGCATGACTGTTTGGATTGTGACAAACTCCAAAACGAGTCATTTTGGTTTCAATAAAAGCTGTTTTTGAACTAACGAGAGTTTAGTTCTGAAACTTACAGATTGTTTTTATAGTACAGTACATTGATCTGTTATGTCAAAAGGGAAATTTTATTTCTCAGTTCATGACCCCTTTAACAAAACAACATTAATAGAAGATTAAAATGAATAAATTAATTATAAAATATGGTAGAGAACATATTTTATCAATAGACATCCTTTTTTTTTAATTTTTTTTTTTATTTTTTTTTTACATTTATTTATGTCAGACTATTTCCTGTCATGCTAAAGAGATCCTTTAAGATGTTTCTATTTGTTTTTGGCTCATATTTACAGATCCATTACAGAACCCCTCTCTCTCGCTGTCAGACCAGTTACGGCTGGGTCGGGATGACCCCAGTACTTTGGGCCTGAACGTCGAGTGCCGCATATGTGGAGATAAAGCCTCAGGATTTCATTATGGAGTACATGCTTGTGAAGGCTGCAAGGTAATTTTGCTGAACTTGTCAAAACTACTGCAGTCAAGGTTTTTCACAAACTGTGGGTGGATTTATGGCCTAAAATAGACCGTCATCTATGATATCTGAACATTAAAGGTGCTGTAAGTGATACTATCTATACTATCACCAAAATAGATGTCCTGAGAAATCACATCTGGCTTTGTAAACAGCCAAAACTATCTGCAAGCAACCCAGGTTTTTTTTTTTTCAACCAATCAGAAACCAGGTCTGCATGTGAACTGACATAACTTTGGAGAATTTTGGTAGGGTTTTTGTGTTGAAGGTATGGGACAGTGTAATTAAAGACTGTGATTTTAGCGAAATTACTGAAATCTGTTACAGCATCTTTAATAAAACCACTCTATTTCTTTACCTTGAATCACTGGGCTTCCTAATGCTTAAAGTTGCATTTCTGTGGTGAAATAACTCTGCAATCCAAGTGCATATTTGACTTGCTGTTTTTCAGTGAGGAAGTGTCATATTTTTTTAAAGGGTTTTTTCAGACGCACCATTCGTATGAAGCTGGAGTATGAGCAGTGTGAGCGTGCCTGTAAAGTCCAGAAAAAGAGCCGAAACAAATGCCAGTACTGTCGCTTCCAGAAGTGCCTGGCATTGGGCATGTCACATGATGGTGAGCAGTCTGCATATAACCACAATTTAAAGTGCCCCTATTATACTATTTGAAATGTTTATAATTTGGTTTTGGGAGTCCCCAACAACAGGTTTACATACATGCAAGGTCAAAAAACACTTTCATTGTCTTATAATATGCCTTTGGAGAATTTTGGTAGGGTTTTTGTGTTGAAGGTATGGGACAGTGTAATTAAAGACTGTGATTTTAGCGAAATTACTGAAATCTGTTACAGCATCTTTAATAAAACCACTCTATTTCTTTACCTTGAATCACTGGGCTTCCTAATGCTTAAAGTTGCATTTCTGTGGTGAAATAACTCTGCAATCCAAGTGCATATTTGACTTGCTGTTTTTCAGTGAGGAAGTGTCATATTTTTTTAAAGGGTTTTTTCAGACGCACCATTCGTATGAAGCTGGAGTATGAGCAGTGTGAGCGTGCCTGTAAAGTCCAGAAAAAGAGCCGAAACAAATGCCAGTACTGTCGCTTCCAGAAGTGCCTGGCATTGGGCATGTCACATGATGGTGAGCAGTCTGCATATAACCACAATTTAAAGTGCCCCTATTATACTATTTGAAATGTTTATAATTTGGTTTTGGGAGTCCCCAACAACAGGTTTACATTCTTGCAAGATCCACAAACAGTGTCATTTTCTTATAATATGCATTTAATTTTACGCTATTTCTCAACGACTCTCAAACGATTAGTTTGAAGATTCATCTTTCCAAACCCCTCCTTTGAATGAGGCTACTCTGCTCTGATTGGTCCGATGACCCAGTCTGTTGTGATTGGTCGACTGCCTACAGTGCATGTCTGAAACGGAACACCCATTACCAGTACTGGAATATGGCTTATCAATAATACATACTATTATAATAATAAAAAAGACCCAAACAATAATGGTATATGCGTTAGCCGAACACAGACAAAGAGTACTAATTTTGTAAACCAACGTATTGCTCCATCCTTTATCATGACTCCAGGTACAACAGACATTCTATATTAATCGAAACATTTCTAGACAATAGCGGGCCCTAGGGGTGTGCGATATATATTGTCTGCGATAATATCGTAATTGTTGTTTTAACGATGTGCAATTTGACATTATCGAGTATTTTGCAAAAACCATTCAAAACATCCCTACAGAGCGCACGCATACATTACGTGAAGTCTAGACTAGTGCGTGTGCATTTAGAGTGCGTTCTTTCACTGCACGATTTAGTCTATTAAAATGCATTTCGAATGATCACAAATTCAAGACATGATGGCAGAAAATTTATATATTTATACCACTTCATATAGTTATTCAATTTCACACGAAGAGTGCCGTTTTTCTCCAAAAAATACCATGATTACAAATGTGACATTGAATTCAATAAACAATAAGTTAATTAAGAGACTTACGTTTTAGACACCGTATTGCTTGTTTTTGCTCTATTTCGCCAACAAAAATCATTCCGAATACAGCCACAGCGCTGTTTTGTGTCTCTGAGCAACATGACGTGTTTAGTTCTTGAATTAATCAACCGTTTAAATGATTCCGTTCAATCGCAATGACTCACTTATTAACAGTGATTTGCTGCCACCTGCTTGCAGTTTTCATTTCAAATTTCGGCTTTTTCTTTTTTTTTTATAGATTTTTTCATGTTTTAAATCATTTCAAATATCAGTATTCAACATTTTATGTTTAATATATCAAAACATTATTTATGCATTTGTAATTGCAGGTTAAATGCATTCATGTCTTGCATTAAACAAAATACATGTGTGTAAATACATCTAAATGCCACTTCAGATGCAGCTTCTGTGTTGATTTCATTTGCTTGGTAACAGCCCAAATGTCTTATTATTCTAATTCCCTGATTAAATGTAAGAATTTGACTCAAAAGATAATGGACACTTCTAGAAAAAATGGCTTTATAAAGGTAAAAATGCCCATAAAATGTAAAATCTGTTTAAACTGATTGGAAAAGATTAATTTCCATCAGTATGAACTGACCACCACACAGAATATGAAGAATATTAAAAACATTACGAGTCAGCTGTCTTCGGCAGTCCTTAAGGTACCAGCACAATAACACACTCAGCAAAATATCGTCTAATTATCGTCATCGATAAAATCCCGGAAAATATCGAGATATTATTTTTTGTCAATATCGCACACCCCTAGCGGGCCCACAGCTGATTAGCAGAACTATAACGTGAGTTAGCCAGAGACCCACAGCTGCACTGACTGTATACACAACACAACACACAAAACGACATATTTTGCACACTCAACAGAACATCAAAGCAACAATTATTAATCACACTTACAGGTTGTGATTTGGAGGAGCAAGCTGTTCCAAACAAACTGTGCACTGACCCATCTTTCAAGGACAACTGGTTTATGAATCCCGCATTGAACTCGCAGAGATTGGGGAAGCAGTCATCAGTGAAATGATGGGAACACGGCAAAAGTTTGGGATTATACTGCTGTGGTATCTTAGTAAATATGAATTTTAACCACTGATTCTTCACAGCCTCATCCTTTGGAAGTGAAAATAAACCGAATTCACTTTCACAGCGCAGAGCACAGCGTCTTCTTGACATTTATTATCCACAGGAACAAGCTACATCATTTGAAGTTTGTTTTCGCGGGATGTCCACGCAGAACGTAACAGCACAGAGCACAGCGTCTTCTTGACATTACATTATCCACAATAACTTTATTTATGATGCACTTTCAGCTTTATAACTTTGCAGACAGTTTACATTCACATACAGCTGCATTACACACTGCATGAAATGTAATTTTCAAAAATCCATAATAGGGGCACTTTAAAGCATTTAGAATTTTCACTCTCATTTTACATCCACTTAGTATGTGCGAAACTGAATATTAAAGGAATAATTCACCCAAAAACGAAAATTTGCTGAAACATTTTCTCACCCCCAGGCCATCCAAGATGTAGATGAGTTTGTTTCTTCATCAGAACAGATTCTGAGAAATTTAGTGTTACATCACTTGCTCAACAATAGATCATCTGCAGTGAATGGGTGCCATCAGAATGAGAGTCCAAACAGCTGATAAAAACATCACAATAAATGTAAGAATTTGACTCAAAAGATAATGGACACTTCTAGAAAAAATGGCTTTATAAAGGTAAAAATGCCCATAAAATGTAAAATCTGTTTAAACTGATTGGAAAAGATTAATTTCCATCAGTATGAACTGACCACCACACAGAATATGAAGAATATTAAAAACATTACGAGTCAGCTGTCTTCGGCAGTCCTTAAGGTACCAGCACAATAACACACTCAGCAAAATATCGTCTAATTATCGTCATCGATAAAATCCCGGAAAATATCGAGATATTATTTTTTGTCAATATCGCACACCCCTAGCGGGCCCACAGCTGATTAGCAGAACTATAACGTGAGTTAGCCAGAGACCCACAGCTGCACTGACTGTATACACAACACAACACACAAAACGACATATTTTGCACACTCAACAGAACATCAAAGCAACAATTATTAATCACACTTACAGGTTGTGATTTGGAGGAGCAAGCTGTTCCAAACAAACTGTGCACTGACCCATCTTTCAAGGACAACTGGTTTATGAATCCCGCATTGAACTCGCAGAGATTGGGGAAGCAGTCATCAGTGAAATGATGGGAACACGGCAAAAGTTTGGGATTATACTGCTGTGGTATCTTAGTAAATATGAATTTTAACCACTGATTCTTCACAGCCTCATCCTTTGGAAGTGAAAATAAACCGAATTCACTTTCACAGCACAGAGCACAGCGTCTTCTTGACATTACATTATCCACAATAACTTTATTTATGATGCACTTTCAGCTTTATAACTTTGCAGACAGTTTACATTCACATACAGCTGCATTACACACTGCATGAAATGTAATTTTCAAAAATCCATAATAGGGGCACTTTAAAGCATTTAGAATTTTCACTCTCATTTTACATCCACTTAGTATGTGCGAAACTGAATATTAAAGGAATAATTCACCCAAAAACGAAAATTTGCTGAAACATTTTCTCACCCCCAGGCCATCCAAGATGTAGATGAGTTTGTTTCTTCATCAGAACAGATTCTGAGAAATTTAGTGTTACATCACTTGCTCAACAATAGATCATCTGCAGTGAATGGGTGCCATCAGAATGAGAGTCCAAACAGCTGATAAAAACATCACAATAATCCACAAGTGATCTACACGATGCCAGTTTATCAGTTAATGTCCTGTGAAGTGAAAAGCTGTGTGTTTGTTAGAAGCATGTTCATCATTAGGGTGCTTAATTTTACACCGTCACTGCTTGATCATGGCACCCATTCACTTCATCTTTTCCGATGAAGAAACAAACTCATCAGTATCTTGGATGGTCTGAGGGTGGGTACATTTTCAGAAAATTTTCATTTTTGTGCCATATATTCCTTTAAAGGGGACATCGGATGCAAAATTCACTTTTACATGGAGTTTGCATGTAAATGCGTCTTAGCAGTGTGTGGACACAACCACACAATGATAAAAATCCATTCACTTCTTTTTTCTTTTTTTTTTATCCCCAAAAAACCTAAACGGTCTCATATTAGATTTTCCGAGCAATATGATGTCATATTGCTCAAGCCCCGCCCACGGCCGTTAAAGAATTGTCCCGTATTAGCATATTTCCACCCTCAGCCAGTTATATGCTGTCTGCCATTTTCTCTGCGCTCGAGCAGCTGTAGCAACATCAGTGTCTCGTAAGCAATGCAGGTGTTTTGTAGTTGTAGATGTAAACGTGAACATAAGAGTCTTCATTTTCTCCCGAAATCAGAGCCACTGAGGACGCTTTGGATTAGTTTTGTTTTTGATGGTAATGTGCCACCGAATACACCTAAATTAATTTAGAAGTCTGCAAAATCATTTTACTCCAGACTGCTTTCTGAACGAGGGACAATTCAAGGCAGGTTTTGCTAAAAAGTTAAAACTCAAGGATGGATCAGTACTAGGGCTGTGCAATATATCGAAACTATCGAAATATCGCAAATGTACATATCGCAATATGCATATCGCTACAGCTTGCAATATTTGGGGCCATGAACAAAAGACAAAGAGAAAATCACCTTTAAGCATTATCGTATCGCATATCGCATTTTTCTTCTATATGGCACAGCCCTAATCAGTACCCACTGTTCGTGATCCAGCTGCACCTCCAGAAGAAGTAAGTCTCCTACTTTATATTTTTATGATTATTTGCAAATCGCCTTTCCTCTTCCACGGAAGAGAGGGGTGGGGTGAGCAGTTGCTCATTAGCATTTAAAGAGACATGCACCGAAACGGGTCGCTGTGAACAGAGCTGTTTTTGATGTTGTTTTACACAATCATCGAGGAATTTTAACCAAAGTATGTTACAGACATTTCACGAAGAACCTAAAGAATCATATCAACTTGTGGAAAATGGGCTTCCGATGTCCCCTTTAATAGTCATACTCAGCCATTAATATTTGAGCATTCATAAATTGTTGCTTTATTTTTAAATGTGTACTAGGTTATGTTGTAATAAATGGAGCTTGTTTTTGTTTCTTTGCCTCAGCAATCAGGTACGGACGTATGCCAGAGGCGGAGAAGAAGAAGCTAGTGGCAGGGCTCATCGCTGGGGAGAAACTGCAAAGCCCTAGTGGAGCTGACCTCAAAACACTGGCCAAGCATGTCAACACATCCTACCTGAGGAACCTCAACATGACCAAGAAAAAAGCACGGAGCATCCTCACGGGCAAGACGAGCTGCACATCGGTATGCGCTCAGCTTTCAGTGAGATGCCACCAATAATTGCAGTTTTCTCATATGGTTTATTTTAGCAAGTCTAAGGATGGATTGATATTAAAGTTCTGGCAGATACGCTAAGCCAATATTTATTTTGATGTTAAAACTGATTTTAAAATGTTTTTTTTTTTAATATATAAAAATAGTATATGATTGATTTGTAGTTATTCCAGTTGTTGTTCTCATTTCATCTCCAGCCTTTTGTGATCCATGATATGGACTCACTATGGCAGGCAGAAAACGGGCTGGTCTGGAATCAGCTTAATGGAGCACCACCCAACAAAGAGATTGGGGTCCATGTCTTCTACCGCTGCCAGTGCACCACAGTTGAAATTGTGCGAGAGCTCACAGAGTTTGCCAAAAACATCCCTGGCTTTGTGGATCTCTTCCTTAATGATCAGGTGAGAATGAGTTTTTAGTGGCTGCTCGTATTTATTATCATACATGAATTAAGTATTGACACATATTTTTCCACTGAAATCATCTCCCACTTTTTCTCTCAGGTAACGCTGTTAAAATATGGAGTCCATGAGGCCATATTTGCGATGCTCCCATCGCTCATGAATAAAGACGGGCTGCTGGTGGCCAATGGGAAGGGCTTTGTGACGAGAGAATTCCTGCGTAGTCTACGCAAACCTTTCAGCGAGATCATGGAGCCCAAATTTGAGTTTGCAGTGAAATTCAATGCCCTGGAGCTGGATGACAGTGACCTAGCTCTGTATGTAGCGGCCATCATACTGTGCGGAGGCAAGGCTGTGTTGTTTGTTTGATCAGCATGTTTTCAAATGTCCTTTGTTGTTGTCTATACAATTTACATCCACAAAGAATTTCTGGAGTAATGACAGTAAAATGAGAACCCAACATTAGAAGAGATCAAAAGCTTGTTTATCACAACATGGAAAAAGCACACTTTACACTGGATTGTAAACCAACCAATTGTAATGTCAGTAAAATAGCTAAACAAGAAAAAGGAAGCTAAAAATGGTTTCTCTTTGCTCTAGATCGTCCTGGGCTGGTGAACGTGAAGCGGGTCGAACAGATCCAGGATGGCATCTTGCAAGCTCTGGACCAACATCTTCAGGTGCACCACTCTGACTCTCCTCATCTCTTCCCCAAACTGCTGCAGAAGATGGCTGACCTCAGACAGCTGGTCACAGAGAACGCCCAGCTGGTTCAGATGATCAAAAAGACTGAATCTGAGACCTCCCTCCACCCACTTTTACAGGAGATCTATAAAGACATGTACTGACATGCAAGGACCTGACTGAAGAATGGACTTCAGAGTTCCCTCCTGAACGGAGAGAGTGCACACATCTGAATGGCACCGTGGTGCCATTGTTTTTTTTTTTTATGAATTTTTGTAAAGGGCTTTTACAAATATTGACTTTGAATACTGACATTTTTGACACTTTGAGTGTTTTTTATTTAAACTCAAGGACACAGAACATCTAGTCACCATTTACTACTACTACTACTACGATCATGTTGTTATTAATTTGCTTGATGAGGGCTAACACCTTTAGAAGTTGTCTTTTCCATCATGATTTTGCTTTGCAAGTACATTTAAGTGATATCTAGTATGTTTCTCTGAGGAGATCAGAGAACAGTCAAGCTCTTGAAATGCCACTTACTGTGTTTGTGGGCTTTTATTTTGTAGTTCTTCTTTCCTCCTGATTCTGTTTGATTAGGCACTTTTACTAAAGTAAAATTTAGACTCCACACAAAACTGTACAGCAGGGAGTTTGGAATTCTGTTACTTTGTCGAGGATGTTGTTTTCAGTGTCAGCTGCTACAAATATATATTGGTATTGAAACTGAAGATAAATCTGCTTAATAATTCACTTTAACTCTTTGGGATAATCCTACAACAGCGTGATAATTTCAGCTGTATGGATGGAAATGTTTCTTCACTTTGTTCATGATATACTTATATGAAATTCTTATGTGCTGATCCCTTTGTTAAACACTGGTACCATGATGGTACTTGTATTTTGGCACACCGTCCGGTACCAGTCTCAAGGTCATATTTACTGATTTGAGAGACAACATCATTTAGATTTTATTGTCTCCTTGACAAGCAGTTGTATTAAATTAGGTCTTCCATTATATGTTGATTGAACATGTTCTATGAATATATATTGAGTGATTGAAAGCAAGCAGGCTGTGGTTACATTCAATCTAGAACATGGATAGTACACATAAACTTAAATTCATTCTTTAAATCAGATGCATTAATTAATTACTTAACGATCATGCCATGATAGTTGTATGTGCATTGAAAATGAATGGAATGCATTTTGAGTAGATACTTCTGTTGTCTTTTATTGAAATAACTTGGACCCTTCTGAGTTTAGAATGGGTCTTGTCAAAAACAGTGCTGAATAATTTGGGAAATCAGTGTAAATGCGTTAAAAAGCGGTTTTGATGTTGAATTACATTAATTGGTATTAATATGATGTGCAACACATCTACCATTTCACATCCAGAAGTATCTCAGAAATATCTATAAAATATATAGATAAATATATAGAGTTTTTCCTCTTATGGCTGAAATTTGCTTTTCTGATCTTTTTTTTTTTCAAGGTGGAACTTGATGTCCGAGATCTATGATCATGTAGAAACCTGTTACTGTGAAACTAGAGAGCACAATAATATGAAATTATAAGAAATTGATGGCTTTTAAAAACTGAAACAGAAGCGAAACAAGTAATAGGAAAGAATAGAGAAAATAAAAAGCGATACTTATTACAATATTACATACTGCACCTTTAAAAGTGCATGAAATGTTGCATGGCATCATAACGAATCGTTCTTTTAGAATGTTTTCATTCAATTGGTTGAACCACTTCATAAATGGTTTGAACTACTTGGGTCTTAAAGAGGTCATATGATGCGATTTCAAGTTTTCCTTTCTCTTTGGAGTGTTACAAGCTGATTGTGCATAGAT